AGCTTGCCTAGTCCACGAGCTTGCCTGGTCCAGGAGCTTGCGTGGTCTAGGAGCGTGCCAGGTCCATGAGCTTGCCTGGTCCAGGAGCTTGATTGGTCCAAGAGCTTGCCTGGTCCAGGAGCTTGCCTGGTCCACGAGCTTGCCTGGTCAAAGAGATTGCATGGTCCGGGAGCTTCCCTGGTCAAGGAGCTTGCCTGGTCCAGGAGCTTGCTTGGTCTAGGAGCTTGCGAGGTCCAGGAGCTTGCCTGGTCTAGGAGCTTGCCTGGTCTAGGAGCTTGCCTGGTCTAGGAGCTTGCCTGGTCTAGGAGCTTGCCTGGTCTAACAGCTTGCCTGAACCAGGAGCGTGCCTGGTCCAGGAGCTTGCCTGATCCAGGGCTTGCCTGGTCCAGGAGCTTGCCTGGTCTAGGATCTTGCCTGGTCCAGGAGCATGCCTGGTCCACGAGCTTGCCTGGTCCAAGAGCTTGCCTGGTCCAGGAGCTTGCCTGGTCCAGGATCTTGCCTGGTCCAGGAGCTTGCCTGGTCCGGGAGCTTCCCTGGTCCAGGAGCTTGCCTGGTCTAGGAGCTTGCCTGGTCCAGGAGCCTGCCTTGTCTTGGAGCTTGCCTGGTCCAGGAGCTTGCCAGGTCCAGGAGCGTGCTTGGTTCACAAGCTTGCCTGGTCAAGGAGCTTGCCAAAACTAGGAGCTTGCCTGGTCCAACAACTTGCCTGGTCCAAGTGCTTGCTTGGTCCAGGAGCGTGCCTGGTCCAAGAGCTTGCCTGGTCCAGGAGCTTGCCTGGTCCAGGAGCTTGCTTGGTCCAGGAGCGTGCCTGGTCCACAAGATTGCGCGGTCCAGGAGCTTGCGTGGTCCAGGAGCTTGCCTGGTCTAGGATCTTGCCTGGTCCAGGAGCTTGCCTGGTCCAGGAGCGTGCCTGGTCCACGTGTTTGCGTGGTTCAGGAGCTTGCCTGGTCCACGAATTTGCCTGGTCCAAGAGCTTGCCTGGTCCAGGAGCTTGCCTGGTCTAGGAGCTTGCCTGGTCCAGGAGCTTGCCTGGTCCAGGAGCTTGCCTGGTCCACGAGTTTGCCTGGTCCAGGAGCTTGCTTGGTCCAGGAGCTTGCGTGGACTAACAGCTTGCCTCGTCCAAGAGCTTGCTTGGTCCAGGAGCGTGAATGGTCCAAGAGCTTGCCCGGTCAAGGAGCTTGCCTGGTCCAGGAGCTTTCCTGGTCCAGGAGCTTGCCTGGTCCAGGAGCTTGCTTGGTCGAGAAGCCTGCCTGGTCCAAGAGCTTGCTTTCTGCAGGAGCGTGCCTGGTCCAAGAGCTTGCGTGGTCCAGGAGCTTGCCAGGTCCAAGAGCCTGCGTGGTCCAGGAGCTTGCCTGGTCAAGGAGCTTGCCTGGTCCGGAATCGTGCCTGGTCCACGAGGGTGCCTGGTCCAGGAGCTTGCCTGGTGCACGAGCCTGCCTGGTCCAGGAGCTTGCCTGGTCCTGGAGCTTGCCTGGTCCACGAGCTTGCCTGGTCCACGAGCTTGCCTGGTCCACGAGCTTGCCTGGTCCAGGAGCTTTCCCGGTCTAGGAGCTTGCCAGGTCCAGGAGCTTGCCTGGTCCAGGAGCTTGCCTGGTCCAGGAGGTTGCCTGGTCCAAGAGCGTGCGTGATCCACGAACTTGCCTGGTCCAGGAGTTTGCCTGGTCCAGGAGCTTGCCTAGTCCAGGTGCTTGTCTGGTCCACGAGCTTGCTTGGTGCACGAGTTTGCCTGGTCCAGGAGCTTGCCAGGTCCAGGAGCTTGCTTGGTCCAGTAGCTTGCCTAATCTAGGAGCTTGCCTGGTCCAGGAGCGTGCCTGGCGCACGAGCTTGCCTAGTACAGGAGCTTGCATGGTCCAGGAGCTTGCGTGGTCCAGGAGCGTGCCTTGTCCAAGAGCTTACCTAGTCCAGGAGCTTGCATGGTCCAGGAGCTTGCCTGGTTGACGAGTTTGCCTGGTCCAGGAGCTTGTCTGGTCCAGGAGCTTGCCTGGTCTAGGAGCTTGCCTGGTCCATGAGCGTGCCGGGTCCAGGAGCTTGCCTGGTCCAGGAGCTTGCCTGGTCCAGGAGCTTGCCTGGTCCAGGAGCGTGCCTGATCCACGAGCCTGCCTGGTCCAAGGGCTTGACTGGTCCAAGATCGTGCCTGGTCCACGAGCGTGCCTGGTCCAGCAGCTTGCCTTGTCCAGGATCTTGCCTGGTCTAGGAGCTTTCCTGGTCCAGGAGCTTGCTTGGTCCAGGAGCTTGCCTGGTCCAAGAGCTTGCCTGGTCCAAAAGCTTGCCTGGTCCATGAGCGTGCCTGGTCCAAGAGCTTGCCTGGTCCAGGAGCTTGCTTGGTCCAGAAGCCTGCCTGGTCCAAGTGCTTGCCTGGTCGAGGAGCGTGCCTGGTCCAAGAGCTTGCGTGGTCCAGGAGCTTGCCTGGTCCAGGAGCTTGCTTGGTCGAGAAGCATGATAGATCCAAGAGCTTGCCTGGTCCGGGTGCGTGCCTAGTCCAAGAGCTTCCGTGGTCCAGAAGCTTGCCTGGTCCAGGAGCTTGCTTAGTCCAGGAGCGTGCTTGGTCCACGAGCCTGCCTGGTCCATGAGCTTGCTAGGTCCAGGAGCTTGCCTGGTCCAGGAGCTTGCCTGGTCCACGAGCTTGCTTGGTCCACGAGCTTGCCTGGTCCAGGAGCTTGCCTGGTCTAGGAGCTTGCCTGGTCCACGAGCTTGCCTGGTCCAGGAGCTTGCGTGGTCCAGGAGGTTGCCTGGTCCAGGAGCGTGCCTGGTCCACGAGCTTGCCTGGTCCAAGAGCTTGCCTGCTCCAAGAGCTTGTATGGTCCAAGAGCTTGCCTGGTCCAAGGGCTTGCGTGGTCCACGAGCTTGCCTGGTCCAGGAGCTTGCCTACTCCAGGAGCGTGCCTGGTCCAGGAGCTTGCCTGGTCCACGACCTTGCCTGATCTAGGAGCTTGCCTGGTCCAGGAGCGTGCTTGGTCCAGGAGCTTGCGTGATCCAGGAGCTTGCTTCGTCCATGAGCTTGCCTTGTCCAGGATCTTGCTTGGTCCAGGAGCGTGCCTGGTCCACGAGTTTGCCTAGTCCAGGAGCCTGCCTCGTCCAGGAGCTTGCCTGGTCTAGGAGCTTGTGTGGTCCAGGAGCGTGAGTGGTCCACGAGCTTGCCTTGTCCAGGAGCTTGCCTGGTCTAGGAGCTTGCCTAGTCCAGGAGCGTGCCTGGTCCAGGAGTGTGCCTGGTCTAAGAGCTTGCGTGGTCCAGGAGCTTGTCTTTTCCAGGAGCTTGCCTTGTCGAGGAGCGTGCCTGGTCAAGGAGTGTGCCTGGTCCTGGAGCTTGCTTGGTCCAGAAGCCTGCCTGGTCTAAGAGCTTGCTTGGTCCAGGAGCGTGCCTAGTCCAAGAGCTTGCCTGGTCGAAGAGCGTGCCTGGTCGAGGAGCGTGCCTGGTCGAGGAGCTTGCCTGGTCCAGGAGCTTGCCTTGTCCAGGAGCTTGCCTGGACCAAGAGCTTGCCTAGTCCAGGAGCTTGCGTGGTCCAGGAGCTTGCCTGGTCCAGGAGCTTGCCTGGTCTACGAGCTTGCTGGTCCAGGAGCTTGCCTGGTCCAGGAGCTTGCTTGTTCCAGAAGCATTCCTCGGCCAAGAGCTTGCCTGGTCCAAGAGCATGCCTGGTCCAAGAGATTGCGTGGTCCAGTAGCTTGCCTTGTCCAGGAGCTTGCCTGGTCCACAAGCGTGCCTGGTCCAGGAGCTTGCTTGGTGCAGGAGCTTGCCTGATCCAGGAGCTTGCCTTGTCCATGAGCGTGCTTGGTCCAGGAGTGTGCCTGGTCCAGGAGCTTCCTTGGTCCAGAAGCTTGCCAGGTCCAAGAGCTTGCGTGGTCCAGGAGCTTGCCTGGTCAAGGAGCTTGCCTGGTCCGGAATCGTGCTTGGTCCACGAGGGTGCCTAGTCCAAGAGCTTGCCTGGTCCACGAGCCTCCCTGGTCCAGGAGCTCCAGGAGCTTGCCTGGTCCACGAGCTTGCCTGGTCCACGAGCTTGCCTGGTCCACGAGCTTGCCTGGTCCAGGAGCTTGCTTGGTCCAGGAGCTTGCCTGGTCCAAGAGCTTGCCTGGTCCAAAAGCTTGCCTGGTCCAGGAGCGTGCCTGGTCCAGGAGCTTGCCCGGTCCAGGAGCTTGCTTGGTCCAGAAGCCTGCCTGGTCCAAGTGCTTGCCTGGTCGAGGAGCGTGCCTGGTCCAAGAGCTTGCGTGGTCTAGGAGCTTGCCTGGTCCTGGAGCTTGCTTGGTCGAGAAGCATGAAAGGTCCATGAGCTTGCGTGGTCCAGGAGCTTGCCTGGTCCAGGAGCGTGCCTGGTCTAGGAGCGTGCCTGGTCAAGGAGCGTTCCTGGTCTAGGAGCGTGCCTGGTCCAGGAGCGTGTCTGGTTTAAAAGCTTGCCTGGTCCAGGAGCTTGCCTGGTCCAGGAGCTTGCCTGGTCTAGGAGCGTGCCTGATCCACGAGCCTGCCTAGTCCAAGGGCTTGCCTGGTCCAAGATCGTGCCTGGTCCACGAGCGTGCCTGTTCCAGGAGCTTGCCTCGTCCAGGAGCTTGCCTGGTCTAGGAGCTTGCCTGGTCCAGGAGCTTGCTTGGTCCAGGAGCTTGCCTGGTCCAAGAGCTTGCCTGGTCCAAAAGCTAGCCTGGTCCAGGAGCGTGCCTGGTCCAGGAGCTTGCCTGGTCCAGGAGCTTGCTTGGTCCAGAAGCCTGCCTGGTCCAAGTGCTTGCCTGGTCGAGGAGCGTGCCTGGTCCAAGAGCTTGCGCGGTCCAGGAGCTTGCCTTGTCCAGGAGCTTTCTTGGTCGAGAAGCATGAAAGGTCCAAGAGCTTGCGTGGTCCAGGAGCTTGCCTGGTCCAGGAGCGTGCCTGGTCCAGGAGCGTGCCTGGTCCAGGAGCGTGCCTGGTCCAGGAGCGTGCCTGGTCCATGAGCTTGCCTGGTGTAACAGCTTGCCTGGTCCAGGAGCGTGCCTGGTCTAGGAGCTTGCCTGATCCAGGAGCTTGCCTGGTCCAGGAGCTTGCCTGGTCTAGGATCTTGCCTGGTCCAGGAGCATGCCTGGTCCACGAGCTTGCCTGGTCCAGGAGCTTGCCTGGTCCAGGAGCTTGCCTGGTCCTGGAGCGAGCCTGGTCCAGGAGCTTGCATGGTCCAGGAGCTTGCCTGGTCTAACAGCTTGCCTGGTCCAGGAGCGTGCCTGGTCCAGGAGCTTGCCTGGTCTATGTCCACGTCCATGTCCACGACCAGGTCCACGTCCACGACCATGTCCACGTCCACGTCCACGTCCACGTCCACGACCATGTCCACGTCCACGTCCATGTCCACGTCCACGTCCACGTCCACGTCCAAGTCCACGTCCACGTCCACGTCCACGTCCACGTCCACGTCCAAGTCCACGTCCACGTCCACGTCCACGTCCACGTCCACGTCCACGTCCACGTCCACGACCATGTCCACGTCCACGACCACGTCCACGACCACGTCCAAGTCCACGTCCACGTCCACGACCACGTCCAAGTCCACGTCCACGTCCACGTCCACGTCCACGTCCACGTTCACGTCCACGTCCACGTCCACGTCCACGTTCACGTCCACGTCCACGTCCACGTCCATGTCCACGTCCACGTCCACGTCCATCTCCACGTCCACGTCCACGTCCACGTCCACGTCCACGTCCACGTCCACGACCAGGTCCACGTCCACGTCCACGTCCACGTCCACGACCAGGTCCACGTCCACGTCCACGACCAGGTCCACGTCCACGTCCACGTCCAAGTCCACGTCCAAGTCCACGTCCATCTCCACGTCCAAGTCCTCCACGTCCACGTCCACGACCATGTCCACCTCCACGTCCACGTCCACGACCATGTCCACGTCCACGTCCACGTCCACGTCCACGTTCACGACCAGGTCCACGTCCACGTCCATGTCCACGTCCACGTCCACGTCCACGTCCACGTCCATGTCCGCGTCCACGTCCACGTCCGCGTCCACGTCCGCGTCCATGTCCACGTCCACGTCCACGTCCACGACCAGGTCCACGTCCACGACCATGTCCACGTCCACGTCCACGTCCACGTCCACGACCATGTCGACGTCCACGTCCACGTCCACGTCCACGTCCACGTCCATGACCATGTCCACGTCCACGTCCACGTCCACGTTCACGTCCACGACCACGACCATGTCCACGTCCACGTCCACGTCCACGTCCACGTCCAAGTCCACGTCCACGTCCATGTCCACGTCCCCGTCCACGTCCACGTCCAAGTCCACGTCCACGTCCACGTCCACGTCCACGTCCACGACCATGTCCACGTCCACGACCACGTCCACGACCACGTCCAAGTCCACGTCCACGTCCACGACCACGTCCAAGTCCACGTCCACGTCCACGACCACGTCCACGTCCACGTCCACGTCCACGACCACGTCCACGTCCACGTCCACGTCCACGTCCACGTCCACGTCCACGTCCACGTCCATCTCCACGTCCACGTCCACGTCCACGTCCACGTCCATCTCCACGTCCACGTCCACGTCCACGACCACGACCACGTCCACGTCCACGTCCATGTCCACGTCCACGTCCACGTCCACGTCCAGGACCACGTCCACGTCCACGTCCACGACCACGTCTATGTCCACGTCCACGTCCACCTCCACGTCCACGTCCACGTCCACGTCCATGTCCACGTCCACGTCCACGTCCACGACCACGTCCACGTCCACGTCCACGTCCACGTCCACGTCCATGTCCACGTCCATCTCCACGTCCACGTCCACGTCCACGTCCACGTGTACGTCCACGTCCACGTCCACGTCCATGTCCACGTCCACGTCCACGTCCACGTCCACGTCCACGACCATGTCCACGTCCACGTCCACGACCACGTCCACGTCCACGTCCACGTCCATGTCCACGTCCACGTCCACGTCCACGTCCACGCGTCCACGTCCACGTCCACGTCCACGCGTCCACATCCACGTCCATGTCCACGTCCACGTCCATGTCCACGTCCACGTCCACGTCCACGTCCATGTCCATGTCCACGTCCTCCACGTCCACGTCCACGTCCACGTCCTCCACGTCCACGTCCACGTCCACGTCCAGGTCCACGTCCACGTCCACGTCCACGTCCACGTCCATGTCCACGTCCACGTCCACGTCCACGTCCACGTCCACGTCCATGTCCACGTCCACGTCCACGTCCACGTCCACGTCCTCGACCACGTCCACGTCCACGTCCACGACCACGTCCACGTCCACGTCCACCTCCACGTCCACGTCCTCGTCCACGTCCACGTCCACGACCACGTCCACGTCCACGTCCACGTCCACAGCCACGACCACGTCCACGTTCACGTCCATGTCCACGTCCACGTCCACGTCCACGTCCAAGTCCACGTCCACGTCCACGTCCACGTCCACGTCCAGGTCCACGTGCACGTCCACGTCCACGTCTACGTCAACGTTTACGTCCACGTCCATGTCCACGTCCATCTCCACGTCCACGTCCACGTCCACGTCCATGTCCACGTCCACGTCCACGTCCACGTTCACGTCCACGTGTACGTCCACGTCCACGTCCACGTCCACGTCCACGTCCACGTCTACGTCCACGTCCACGTCCACGTCCACGTCCACGTCCACGACCACGTCCACGTCCACGTCCACGTCCACCTCCACGACCACGTCCACGTCCACGTCCACGTCCACGTCTACGTCCACGTCCACGTCCAAGTCCACGTCCACGTCCACGTCCAAGTCCACGTCCACGTCCACGTCCACGACCAGGTCCACGTCCACGTCCACGTCCACCTCCACGACCATGTCCACCTCCACGTCCACGTCCACGTCCACGTCCACGTCCACGTCCAAGTCCACGTCCACGTCCACGTCCACGTCCACGTCCATGTCCACGTCCACGTCCATGTCCACGTCCACGTCCATCTCCACGTCCACGTCCACGTCCACGTCCACGTCCACGTCCACGTCCAGGTCCACGTCCACGTCCACGTCCACGTCCACGTCCACGTGTACGTCCACGTCCACGTGTACGTCCACGTCCACGTCCACGTCCATGTCCACGTCCACGTCCACGTCCACGTCCACGTTCACGTCCACGTCCACGACCATGTCCACGTCCACGTCCACGTCCACGACCACGACAACGTCCACGTCCACGTCCATGTCCGCGTCCACGTCCACGTCCACGTCCACGCGTCCACGTCCACGTCCATCTCCACGTCCGCGTCCACGTCCACGTCCACGTCCCTGTCCACGTCCACGTCCTCCACGTCCACGTCCACGTCCACGTCCTCCACGTCCACGTCCACGTCCACGTCCACGTCTACGTCCACGTCCACCTCCACGTCCACGTCCACGTCCACGTCCATGTCCACGTCCACGTCCACGACCACGTCCACGTCCACGTCCACGTCCACGTCCATGTCCACGTCCATCTCCACGTCCACGTCCACGTCCACGTCCATGTCCACGTCCACGTCCACGTCCACGTCCACGTCCACGTCCATGTCCACGTCCACGTCCACGTCCACGTCCACGACCACGTCCACGTCCACGTCCACGTCCACGACCACGACCACGTCCACGTCCATGTCCACGTCCACGTCCACGTCCACGTCCACGCGTCCACGTCCACGTCCATGTCCACGTCCACGTCCACGTCCACGTCCACGTCCATGTCCACGTCTACGTCCTCCACGTCCACGTCCACGTCCACGTCCTCCACGTCCACGTCCACAACCACGTCCATGTCCACGTCCACGTCCACGTCCACGTCCACGTCCACGTCCACGTCCATGTCCACGTCCACGTCCACGTGTACGTCCACGTCCACGTCCACGTCCACGTGTACGTCCACGTCCACGTCCACGTCCACGTCCATGTCCACGTCCAGGTCCACGTCCACGTCCACGTCCACGTCCACGTCCATGTCCACGTCCACGTCCTCCACGTCCACGTCCACGGCCACGTCCTCCACGTCCACGTCCACAACCACGTCCACGTCCACGTCCATGTCCACGTCCACGTCCACGTCCACGTTGTGGAAACAAAGAACGAGAATGAAATGACTATGAACGAAGTGAGTACAAATAGGAAACCCTAATTGGGTTGTACCCCCTATGGGATACCCCACTATAGCCTACAGAAACAAGTAAGCTATAAGTTCTGACACACCCCCATAGGCAAAGTGGGGGAGAACAAGGGGTCACAAGACCAGTCAAGCAAAGCAAAGCAAAGCTCAGGGTGGATCACAAAGTCACCACGCATTCCGAGCACAAGTTCAAAGGCCACAAGGCCAGTTCACATGCAAGATCATATATAGAGATATACAAAAAACAAGAGTATATATATGCGAAAGTACAAGCAAGGTCAAGAGGAGAGCAAGTGAGGCAAGACAGGCACAAGACCCAACTGCGTGCAGCAACGCTGATGATCACAAGGCGCAAGTGCCTTGGTGAAGACATCAGCAGTGTTGGCCTCAGAGGCCACGTACGCAAGTCGCAGCTGTCCACGCTGCTGTAGCTCACGAGCAAGAAAGTAACGAAGAGCAATGTGCTTCGTTCTGTGCTCCAGTCGCTGCTCTCGACACAAGGCCAGCATGGCCTTGTTGTCTACGTACAGGACTGGAGGAGAACGAGGCTGCTCTCCAAGGTCGGTCAGCAGGTAGGTGAGCCAGCGTAACTCCTGTGCAGCCATAGCCCCAGCGTAGATCTCAGCCTCACAACTGGAGCCGAGAACAGAAGACGAGCGGGTAGCCCGCCACGAGACAGAGCCGGAACCAAGGCTGAAGGTGTAACCCTGTGACGACCGCTGCGTAGCCTGGTCGTCAGCCCAAGAAGCGTCTGCGTGCCCAGTGAGGACCACTGGACTGCGCCCTCCAAGCACTAGCCCCATGCCCGACGTACTGCACAAGTAGCGCAACACCCTCTTCGCTGCAGCCATGTGCTCTGGTCGGTGTCTCCCAGGAGCAACATAGCGTGCGAGAATGCTAAGAGGGTATGCGAGGTCAGGTCGTGTGCAGGTCATCAGGTACATGAGGCAGCCAACAAGCTCTGCAAACGGGCCACTCGACTCTACGGACTCATCCGAAGGCAGAGCTGAGAGCGAGTGGCGAGTAGGCAGAGGAGTGGCCTGAGGCGAGGAGTACGTGAAGCCGAAGCGCTGAAGGACCTGCTGCACCATGTGTGACTGAGTCAGGGTAATGGTGCGGCGTGCTCTGTCCCGGGTGATCTGCAAGCCAAGGTAGCTGCGCAGTTCACCCAGGTCAGTGCACGTGTGTCTCTTCTGCAGCTCGGACTTCACGTAGGCGAGTCCAGCAGTGTCAGCTGTGGCAAAGACCAAGTCGTCGACGTACACGAGGATGTAGAACGGCGGCAGAGAGGTGTCGGTGCGCAGAAACAGCGACGGGTCGGCAGTGGAAGGAGCAAACCCAAGTGCCGCCAGCGTAGTCCTCAGTGTGTCGTGCCACTCACGTGGCGCCTGGCGGAGACCGTAGACTGGACGCCGGAGACTCCACTGGGTACCAGGAGGGAAAGACCCAGTGAAGCCAGGTGGGCGACGCAGCCAGATCTCCTCGTGCAGGCTGCCCTGCAAGAAAGCTGTGCTGAAGTCGAGAGAGTGCAGCTCGTAGTCACGGTGAGCAGCAACGTGTAGCAGAACCCGAAGAGTGGTCATCTTCGGGGTGGGGGAGAAGGTCTGAAAGTAGTCAACCCCCTGCCGCTGACTGAAGCCACGAGCCACGTAACGCGCCTTGAAGACAGGCGGAGAACCCGGCGGCCGCTTCACCCTGAAAATCCACATGCCACTGACGATGTTCGCCCCAGGAGGGGGAACAGCGTCAACGTAGGTGCCTGTGGACTTCCAGGAAGCCATCTCTGCATCCATAGCTGCCTGCCACTGAGAGGAGTAGGGACCCTCTATCGCCTCCGCGTAAGAGCGCGGAGTCGGGATGTCTGGTGCATCCGGGTCTCCCTCAGGGGCTAGCAGTACAGACGCGAGACGAGGTGAAGCGGCGGCCAGACACTGGAACTCCTCCTGCCTGTCCTCAAGGACGTCCGTGCCAAGGGCACACTCACCCCCGACGGACGGAGGACAGGCGGACTCAGACTCAGTGACAAGACGAGCAGCGTAGTCTAGACGACAGCGCGCAGCAAAGTCGACAAGCTCAGTGACAAGGGCAGACGCAGCAGACGACTCGAAGGAGGGGTCAGTGACAGCAGTAGCCAGGAGACGCGTGACAGTAGGACTGGCAGCACGAAGGGCGTCCGACTCCGGGTCGGCAAGAGCAGGAAGAGAGGAAGCAGGAGGAGAAGGCAAAGGGGCACGCAGAGGAGCAGTGGACGGACGCAGGGACATCCGGTGCGTGCCAGGGACAGGAGGAGGACGCTGACGCGACCCGCGACCACTAGCGCGCTCAGTACGAACAGGCGACACAGGACGAGACGCAGGCTCACGACGCTCAGTAAGACCTCCAGTCGGACCAGCGTAGGGAGAAGGAGCAGGCAAAGGGGAGGCAGGCTGTAGCTGTGGCTGTGACCGGACAGGCTGCGGACCCTCTAAGGGAGGAGGAGGAGGTGTAAGACCAAGAACCTGCTGCAGGAGCGGAACGAAGTACGGTCGGGGCCGCGCGGCGACGCTAGAAACAGCAGGAACAGCACCAGCAGCCCCGGCAGGAGCACCCACTCCAGTAGCACCTCCAGCAGCACCACCAGAAGCTCCAGAACCTCCAGCCGCAGCACCAGGAGCACTGTCACTCGGGCCGCCAACGGCAGGCTCAGCACCAACACCCTCAGCAGGACCAGCTCCAGGAGAACTCTCAGACTCAGCAGCTCCAGCACCCACAGTACGAGCGCCGGCGGGGCGCGCAGCAGCAGTACCCTCTGCAGCCGAAGAACCACCAGCACCAGCAGCACGCCTCCAGCGCCCGGCAAACCACTCACGCAGCTCCTGTGGGGAGAGTGGCTCCCGGCGAGACGAAGCACCCCCAGGCACAGCACCTCCAGGCTCAGCACCCCTAGACACAGCACCCCCAGGCACGTCACCCCCAGGCTCAGCACCCCCAGGCTCAGCAACCCCAGGCTCAGCACCCCCAGGCTCAGCACCCCCAGGCACAGCACCCCCAGACTCGGCACCTCCAGGCACAGCACCCCCAGGCTCAGCACCCCCAGGCTCAGCACCCCCAGACTCGGCACCTCCAGGCTCAGCACCCCCAGACTCCGCACCCCCAGGCTCAGCTCCCGCAGCAGCACCAGAGTCACCAGTGACCTCGACAGGCTCGACCGCGTCTACCTGGGACACACCTGAAGGGGCAGGACCCTGAGGGGGGAGGGGGACTACCGGGGGGGGACCTGGTACCAAGAAGAGCGGGGGTGGGGGGAGGGACGGAGTGCGGTAGGGGAAGAGGCGGTAGTAGGGTACCGACTCGTCGAACGTGACGTCCTGGGAGGACAGAACACGTCGAGAGGTGGGGTGGTAAAACTGCCACCCAGGGGCGTCGGGGGGGAACCCCAGGAAGACACAGGGAGAAGCACGAGGGGATAGCTTGTCCGCAGACAGGTCGCGAACAAACGCCCGAGATCCCCAGACCCGGAACGCCGACGCATCGCCAACCTTCCCCGTCCACAGCAGGGCTGGGGAGGTCTCCGGTCGAGAGACCCTGGGGTGGAGGTTGATCTGGTGCGCAGCGTACCCGACCGCAAACGGCCACAGAAAATGGGGAGCAGCCGCATGCATCATGGACGTACGAGCGACGTCCATGACCATGCCAATGCGGCGCTCAGCAATCCCATTCTGCTGCGGTGAGTCCGGAAGCGTGAAGGTCTGACGGATGCCTCGCGCACGACAGTAGGCACTCAGGAGGCCAGAGGAGAACTCTCCGCCTCTGTCCGAGTGCAGACGCAAAACAGGGAAGTCAGAGCCAAAGCTCCTCCGAAGCTGGAGACGAGCTGCGCGGATCCAGTCGATCAACACCGCAGTGACCTCACCCTTGCTGCGCAAGGGGAAGACTGTGGTGTAACGCGAGTAGTCGTCAACCACCAGCAGGAAGTAGCGCTCCTGACCCTGTCCACGGACGCGGGCTGGGCCCCACACATCCATGTGAAGCGTCTGCAACGGGGCCTCTGTCGGAGGAAACTGGGAGGAGTGAGGGGCAGCACGCTGGCGCCCCTCGACACAGGGGACACAGGTGGGGCCAGGGCCCGGAGGAAGGGGAGGGAGAGACCGGGGAAGACCAGACACAAGGACTCGCGAGGCCATGCCTCTGAGCCGAAGCAGAGAGGGGTGGCCAAGGCGGTGGTGCCAGAGGAGGGTCTCGTGAGACAAACGACGGCACGAGCAGGGGGCAGACTCAGGACCAGACCTGGACGCTGCAGCAAACACCTGACCAGACGAAGTGACCCTACCAGACTCAGCACCTGGAGGAGAAGCAGTGGTCAGAGTGTACAGGCTCGACCCTGGCCGACGTGTAAACGTAGCCAGGTGGCGACCTGTATCCGCCTCCGTGCAGTGGGTCACCCGCTGACGAGCAGGGGTGAACTGGTGGACACCCGCATCCTGGAGGTCAGCACCACTCACCAAGTTCGTCGAGAACGAGGGGAGGTAGAGACCAGTCAGGGTGCCAGAGGGGGCCGCCGGACACGGGAGGACAGTGGAGAAGCGAGACAGGACAGGCCCCCCAGAGGGGTCAGCCAGGGACACCGCAACCGGCCGACTCAGCGGCGTGAGAGTGGTGCGGTCCCGAAAGAAGGAGCGAGACGCTCCAGAGTCAAGGGTGAAGGTGTGAGAGGCCGAAGCCGACACAGTACCTGAGAGGGCAGACTCACCAGCACCTGAGAGCACAGACGCACTGGCACCTAGAGCAGCAGCCTCACTAGTACCTGACGCGGCAGTACCAATGCCCGGGTCGGGCGGGAAACACCGGTAACAGTCATCCTCATCACTACCAATCGCAGCATACATAGCAGAGAGAATAGCATCAAAATCAAGATCATAAATAGCTACACCAGCCCTAGACAGCTCTCCCCAGCGGGGGATCTCAGCTGCCTCCGGAAACTGCTGACGCCAGGCGTCAGTCAGGCGGCCAAAGCAGCGGCGGGCAGTGTGGGCGCCTCCACACCTCTCCCCTGCACGGTCACCGGTGCGGAGAACGTAGGGGCAAGGACCAAGCGCACCACCACGCTGACGCTGCGAGTACCACTCACGGAGCTGCTGAGGGGCGGGGACGGTGCGAGAGCGCTGCTGCTGCTGTGGCTGCTGCTGCGGCTGCTGCTGCTGTTGCTGCTGGCGCTGACCACCCCCGGAGCTGCTCCGCTGGGACGAGCCACTCCGACCCCCGCCTCCACTGCCACCCCCGCCTCCACCGCCACCCCCGTCTCCACCTCCACCTCCCCCACCAGGACCGTCGCTCCCACCGCTCCCACCGCCTCCTCCGCTACCACCTCCGCCGCCACCTCCGCCTCCACCGCCGCCACCAGTACCTCCACTTCCGCCACCACCCCCACCGCCACCCCCACTCCCCCCGCCACCCCCACCGCCTCCTCCACCGCCCCCTCTAGCTCCACCCGCTCCCTTGCCCCCCTTGCCCTTGCCAGCGCGGCGTCTGCCGCTGGGGGCAGACGCCGCGCCGACCGACTCAAAACCAGTGAGGTCGGCCGCAGCGGCAGAGGCGACAGAGGGCAGCAGGGGGGAAGGACCACACCCCTCAAAGATAGGGGTGCGAGGGTCACCCCGAGAGGCCCCTACAGCGACAATACTCTTCTCAGCCGCTAGCAGGGACTCCTCAAGGAGGTCGACAGTGAGAGTGGTGGGACAGACAGAGAGAAACTGGTCCCTAACGACACGAAGGGACTCAGGGAGACGGGTGACGAGAAAGTAGAGAGTGATGTACATGGGAGGAGGGTTCGCAGCGCGGAACTCAGCAGGAAGGGCAGCGCGGTAGCGGGTGTCACTAGCACGGAGGTGGGTAACGAGGTCAGCGACAGTGGGAAAGGAAGCGAGGTCAGGGAAGAGAAACGGTAGCATGAGGCGGCTAAGGGTAGCGGAGGAAGGGGAGGAGTAGCGTGCAACTACAGCGTCGTACAAGGCCTGAGCGGTCTTGCACTGACTAAAGTGGGCACGCTCAGAGGAAGGGAGGTGGCGACGCACAGCAAGACGTGCAGCAGCATCGCGGGTCGCCCACTTGGAGCGAACGGCAGAGTCAGCATCAGCAGGTGGGGCAGGGACAGCGCCAGAGACAAAGTCAAAGAGAGAGACCTCATCTATCGCATCACACAGTAAGTACAGCTGCAGGTCTTCAATCCAGACGGCAAAGTCAATGGCCCTCCCCTCAGCGTCAAAGGTAAGAACATTGGGGGTGGCCATGACAGCAGCTGAAAATCTCACCGGGCTGGGAGAGGCGGGTAGGTCAGCAGCAGAGGAACAGCAGCACGGCTCCGCAGGCGGCTCGGGCGGCGCGGGCGGCTCGGCGGCGGCTCGGGCGGCGGCTCGGCGGCGGTTCGGCGGCGGCTCGGCGGCGGCTCGGCGGCGGCTCAGGCGGCGGCGGCTCGGCGGCGGCTCGGCTGCTGCTGGGCGGCGCGGGCGGCTCGGGCGTCACGGGCGGCTCGGCGGCGGCTCTGGCGGCTCGGCGGCGGCTCGGGCGGCGGCTCGGCGGCGGCTCGGCGACGGCTCGGCGGCGGCTCGGCGGCGGCTCAGGCGGCGGCGGCTGCTGCTGGGCGGATCGGCGGGGCCGCGTAGCAGAGTGGCGGCGGGGCCGCGACCGAAGAGAGCGGCGGGGCCGCGTAGCAGAGGGCGGCGGGGCCGCGTAGCAGAGGGCGGCGAGGCCGCGTAGCAGAGGGCGGCGGGGCCGCGATCGAAGGGCGGCGGGGCCGCGTAGCAGAGGGCGGCGGGGCCGCGTAGTAGAGGGCGGCGGGGCCGCGTGGCAAAGGGCGGCGGGGCCGCGATCGAAGGGCGGCGGGGCCGCGTAGCAGAGAGCGGCGGGGCCGCGTAGCAGAGGGCGGCGGGGCCGCGTAGCAGAGGGCGGCGGGGCCGCGAGGCAGAGGGCGGCGGGGCCGCGTAGCCGAGGGCTGCGGGGCCGCGATCGAAGGGCGGCGGCGGGGCCGCGTAGCAGAGGGCGGCGGGGCCGCGATCGAAGGGCGGCGGGGCCGCTAGGGAAGGGCGGCGGAGCCGCGAGGGGAAGGGCGGCGCAACGGTCCGCTAGGGGCGACACGACGGGTCGCTAAAAAAAAAACGCGCCTCGGGGCGCGGTTCGGTGGGCCCTAGAAGCAGTCCCTAGGAGGGAACCTGCTCTGATTCCATGTGGAAACAAAGAACGAGAATGAAATGACTATGAACGAAGTGAGTACAAATAGGAAACCCTAATTGGGTTGTACCCCCTATGGGATACCCCACTATAGCCTACAGAAACAAGTAAGCTATAAGTTCTGACACACGTCCACGTCCACGTCCACGTGTACGTCCACGTGTACGTCCACGTCCACGTCCACGTCCACGTGTACGTCCACGTCCACCTCCACGTCCACGTCCACGTCCACGTCCACCTCCACGTCGACCTCCACGTCCACGACCACGTCCACGTCCACGTCCACGTCCACGACCACGTCCACGTCCACGTCCACGTCCACGTCCACGTCCACCTCCACGTCCACGTCCACGTCCACGTCCACGTCCACGTCCATGTCCACGTCCACGTCCACGTCCACGACCACGTCCACGTCCACGTCCACGTCCACGTCCACGTCGACGTCCACGTCCACGTCCACGTCCACGTCCACGACCATGTCCACGTCCACGTCCACGTCCACGTCCACGTGTCCACGTCCACGTCCACGTCCACGTCCACGTCCACATCCACGTCCACGTCCATGTCCACGTCCACGTCCACGTCCACGTCCAAGTCCATGTCCACGTCCACGTCCACGTCCAAGTCCACGTCCACGTCCACGTCCACGTCCACGTCCACGTCCACGTCCAGGTCCACGTCCACGTCCACGTCCACGTCCACGTCCACGTCCACGTCCACGTCCACGTCCACGTCCACGTCCACGTCCACGACCACGTCCACGTCCACGACCACGTCCACGTCCATGTCCACGTCCACGTCCACGTCCACGTCCACGTCCACGTCCACGTCCATGTCCACGTCCACGTCCACGTCCATGTCCACGTCCATGTCCACGTCCACGTCCATGTCCACGTCCTCCACGTCCAGGTCCACGTCCACGTCCTCGTCCACGTCCACGTCCTCGTCCACGTCCACGTCCACGTCCACGTCCTCCTCCACGTCCACGTCCATGTCCACGTCCACGTCCACGTGTACGTCCACGTCCACGTCCACGTCCACGTGTACGTCCACGTCCACGTCCACGTCCACGTCCACGTCCATGTCCACGTCCACGTCCACGTCCACGTCCAAGTCCACGTGTACGTCCACGACCACGTCCACGTCCAAGTCCACGACCACGTCTATGTCCACGTCCACATCCACCTCCTCGTCCACGTCCACGTCCACGTCCACGTCCACGTCCACGACCACGTCCACGTTCACGTCCATGTCCACGTCCACGTCCACGTCCACGTCCACGTCCACGTCCACGACCACGTCCACGTCCACGTCCACGTCCACCTCCACGTCCACGTCCACGTCCACGTCCACGTCCACGTCCACGTCCACGTTCACGTCCACGTCCACGACCACGTCCACGTTCATGTCCACTCCACGTCCACGTCCACGTCCACGTCCACGTCCAAGTCCACGTCCACGTCCACGTCCATGACCACGACCACGTCCACGTCCACGTCCAGGTCCACGTCCACGTCCACGTCCACGTCCACGTCCACGTCCACGACCACGTCTACGTCCACCTCCACGTCCACCTCCACGTCCACCTCCACGTCCACGTCCACGTCCACGTCCACGTCCACGACCACGACCACGTCCACGTCCACGTCCACGTGTCCACGTCCACGTCCACGTCCACGTCCACGTCCACGTCCATGTCCACGTCCACGTCCAAGTCCACGTCCACGTCCACGTCCACGTCCACGTCCACGTCCACGTCCACGACCACGTCCACGTCCACGTCCACGTGTCCACGTCCACGTCCACGTCCACGTCCACGTCCACGTCCACGTCCATGTCCACGTCCACGTCCAAGTCCACGTCCACGTCCACGTCCACGTCCAAGTCCACGTCCATGTCCACGACCACGACCACGTCCACGTCCACGACCACGTCCACGTCCACGTCCACGTCCATGTCCACGTCCACGTCCACGTCCACGTCCATGTCCACGTCCACGTCCACGTCCACGTCCATGTCCACGTCCATGTCCACGTCCACGTCCATGTCCACGTCCTCCACGTCCAGGTCCACGTCCACGTCCTCGTCCACGTCCACGTCCTCGTCCACGTCCACGTCCACGTCCACGTCCTCGTCCACGTCCACGTCCACGTCCACGTGTACGTCCACGTCCACGTCCACGTCCACGTGTACGTCCACGTCCACGTCCACGTCCACGTCCATGTCCACGTCCACGTCCACGTCCACGTCCAAGTCCACGTGTACGTCCACGACCACGTCCACGTCCAAGTCCACGACCACATCTATGTCCACGTCCACATCCACCTCCACGTCCACGTCCACGTCCACGTCCACGTCCACGACCACGTCCACGTCCACGTCCACCTCCACGTCCACGTCCACGTCCACGTCCACGTCCACGTCCACGTTCATGTCCACTCCACGTCCACGTCCACGTCCACGTCCAAGTCCACGTCCACGTCCACGTCCACGACCACGACCACGTCCACGTCCACGTCCAGGTCTACGTCCACGTCCACGTCCACGTCCACGTCCACGTCCACGACCACGTCTACGTCCACCTCCACGTCCACCTCCACGTCCACCTCCACGTCCACGTCCACGTCCACTTCCACGTCCACGTCCACGTCCACGACCACGTCCACGTCCACGTCCACGTCCACGTCCACGTCCACGACCACGTCCACGACCACGTCCATGTTCACGTCCACGTCCACGTCCACGTCCACGTCCAAGTCCACGTCCAAGTCCACGTCCACGTCCACGTCCACGTCCACGTCCACGTCCACGTCCACGTCCACGACCACGTCCACGTCCACGTCCACGTCCACGTCCACGTCCACGTCCACGTCCAGGTCCACGTCCAGGTCCACGTCCACGTCCACGTCCACGTCCACGTCCACGTCCACCTCCACACGTCCACGTCCACGTCCACGTCCACGTCCACCTCCACGTCCACGTTCACGTCCACGTCAACGTCCACGTCCACGTCCACGTCCACGTCCACGTCCACGTCCACGACCATGTCCACGACCACGTCCACGTCCAAGTCCACGTCAACGTCCACGTCCACGTCCACGTCCACGACCATGTCCACGTCCACGACCACGTCCACGACCATGTCCAAGTCCACGTCCAAGTCCACGTCCACGTCCACGTCCACGTCCACGTCCACGTCCACGTCGACGTCCACGTCCACGTCCACGTCCACGTCCAGGTCCAGGTCCACGTCCACGTCCACGTCCATGTCCACGTCCACGTCCACGTCCACGTCCACGTCCACGTCCACGTCCACGACCACGTCCACGTCCACGACCACGTCCACGACCATGTCCAAGTCCATGACCACATCCACGTCCACGTCCACGTCCACGTCCACGTCCACGTCCAAGTCGACGTCCACGTCTATGTCCATGTCCACGTCCACGTCCAGGTCCATGTCCACGTCCACGTCCACGACCACGTCCATGTCCACGTCCACGTCCACGTCCACGTCCATGTCCACGTCCACGTCCACGTCCACGTCCACGTCCACGTTTATGTCCAAGTCCACGTCCACCTCCACGTCCACGTCCACGTCCACGACCACGTCCACGTCCACGACCACGTCCACGACCATGTCCAAGTCCAAGTCCACGTCCACGTCCAAGTCCACGTCCACGTCCACGTCCACGTCCACGACCACGTCAACGTCCACGTCCACGTCCAATCCACGACCACGTCCACGTCCACGTCCACGTCCACGTCCAGGTCCACGTCCACGTTCACGTCCACGTCCACGTCCACGTCCACATCCAGGTCCACGTCCATGTCCACGTCCACGTCCAGGTCCACGTCCATGTCCACGACCACGTCCACGTCCACGTCCACGTCCACGACCACGTCCACGTCCACGTCCAAGTCCACACGTCCACGTCCACGTCTACGTCCACGTCCACGTCCACGTCCACGTCCACGTCCATGTCCACGTCCACGTCCACGTCCATTTCTACGTCCACGTCCACGTCCACGTCCATGTCCACGTCCACGTCCACGTCCACGTCCAAGTCCACACGTCCACGTCCACGTCCACGTCTACGTCCACGTCCACGTCCACGTCCACGTCCACGTCCACGTCCACGTCTATGTCCACGTCCACGTCCACGTCCACGTCCACGTCCATGTCCACGTCCACGTCCACGTCCACGTCCACGTCCATGTCCACGTCCACGTCCAGGTCCAGGTCCACGTCCACGTCCACGTCCATTTCTACATCCACGTCTACGTCCACGTCCACGTCCACGTCCATGTCCACGTCCATGTCCACGTCCACGTCCACGTCCACGTCCACGTCCATGTCCATGTCCACGTCCACGTCCATGTCCACGTCCACGTCCACGTCCACGTCCACGTCCACGTCCATGTCCACGTCCATGTCCACGTCCACGTCCATGTCCACGTCCACGTCTACGTCCATGTCCATGTCCACGTCTACGTCCACGTCCATTTCTACGTCCACGTCCACGTCCATGTCCACGTCTACGTCCACGTCCACGTCCACGTCTACGTCCACGTCCAGATCCACGTCCACGTCCATGTCCACGTCCACGTCCATGTCCACGTCCACGTCCACGTCTACGTCCACGTCCACGTCCACGTCCACGTCCACGTCCACGTCCACGTCCACGTCCATGTCCACGTCCACGTCCACGTCCACGTCCATGTCCACGTTCATGTCCACGTCCACGTCCACGTCCACGTCCACGTCCACGTCCACGTCCACGTCCATGTCCACGTCCACGTCCACGTCCACGTCCACGTCCTTGTCCACGTCCATGTCCACGTCCATGTCCACGTCCACGTCCACGTCCACGTCGTCCATGTCCACGTCTACGTCCAAGTCCACGTCCACGTCCACGTCCAGGTCCACGTCCACGTCCACGTCCACGTCCACGTCCACGACCACGTCCACGTCCACGTCCACGTCCACGTCCATGTCCACGTCCACGTCCACGTGTACGTCCACGTCCACGTCCACGTCCACGTGTACGTCCACGTCCACGTCCACGTCCACGTCCACGTCCATGTCCACGTCCACGTCCACGTCCACGTCCAAGTCCACGTGTACGTCCACGACCACGTCCACGTCCAAGTCCACGACCACGTCTATGTCCACGTCCACATCCACCTCCACGTCCACGTCCACGTCCACGTCCACGTCCACGTCCACGTCCACGACCACGTCCACGTTCACGTCCATGTCCACGTCCACGTCCACGTCCACGTCCACGTCCACGTCCACGACCACGTCCACGTCCACGTCCACGTCCACCTCCACGTCCACGTCCACGTCCACGTCCACGTCCACGTCCACGTACACGTCCACGTCCACGACCACGTCCACGTTCACGTCCACGTCCATGACCACGTCCACGTTCATGTCCACTCCACGTCCACGTCCACGTCCACGTCCACGTCCAAGTCCACGTCCACGTCCACGTCCACGACCACGTCCACGTCCACGTCCAGGTCCACGTCCACGTCCACGTCCACGTCCACGTCCACGTCCACGACCACGTCTACGTCCACCTCCACGTCCACCTCCACGTCCACCTCCACGTCCACGTCCACGTCCACGTCCACGTCCACGACCACGACCACGTCCACGTCCACGTCCACGTCCACATGTCCACGTCCACGTCCACGTCCACGTCCACGTCCACGTCCACGTCCACGTCCACCTCCACGTCGACCTCCACGTCCACGACCACGTCCACGTCCACGTCCACGTCCACGTCCACGACCACGTCCACGTCCACGTCCACGTCCACGTCCACCTCCACGTCCACGTCCACGTCCACGTCCACGTCCACGTCCATGTCCACGTCCACGTCCACGTCCACGACCACGTCCACGTCCACGTCCACGTCCACGTCCACGTCCACGTCCACGTCCACGTCCACGACCATGTCCACGTCCACGTCCACGTCCACGTCCACGTGTCCACGTCCACGTCCACGTCCACGTCCACGTCCACGTCCACATCCACGTCCACGTCCATGTCCACGTCCACGTCCACGTCCACGTCCAAGTCCATGTCCACGTCCACGTCCACGTCCAAGTCCACGTCCACGTCCACGTCCACGTCCACGTCCACGTCCAGGTCCACGTCCACGTCCACGTCCACGTCCACGTCCACGTCCACGTCCACGTCCACGTCCACGTCCACGACCACGTCCACGTCCACGACCACGTCCACGTCCATGTCCACGTCCTCGTCCACGTCCACGTCCACGTCCACGTCCACGTCCACGTCCATGTCCACGTCCACGTCCACGTCCATGTCCACGTCCATGTCCACGTCCACGTCCATGTCCACGTCCTCCACGTCCAGGTCCACGTCCACGTCCTCGTCCACGTCCACGTCCTCGTCCACGTCCACGTCCACGTCCACGTCCTCCTCCACGTCCACGTCCATGTCCACGTCCACGTCCACGTGTACGTCCACGTCCACGTCCACGTCCACGTGTACGTCCACGTCCACGTCCACGTCCACGTCCACGTCCATGTCCACGTCCACGTCCACGTCCACGTCCAAGTCCACGTGTACGTCCACGACCACGTCCACGTCCAAGTCCACGACCACGTCTATGTCCACGTCCACATCCACCTCCTCGTCCACGTCCACGTCCACGTCCACGTCCACGTCCACGTCCACGACCACGTCCACGTTCACGTCCATGTCCACGTCCACGTCCACGTCCACGTCCACGTCCACGACCACGTCCACGTCCACGTCCACGTCCACCTCCACGTCCACGTCCACGTCCACGTCCACGTCCACGTTCACGTCCACGTCCACGTCCACGACCACGTCCACGTTCATGTCCACTCCACGTCCACGTCCACGTCCACGTCCACGTCCAAGTCCACGTCCACGTCCACGTCCACGACCACGACCACGTCCACGTCCACGTCCAGGTCCACGTCCACGTCCACGTCCACGTCCACGTCCACGTCCACGACCACGTCTACGTCCACTCCACGTCCACCTCCACGTCCACCTCCACGTCCACGTCCACGTCCACGTCCACGTCCACGACCACGACCACGTCCACGTCCACGTCCATGTGTCCACGTCCACGTCCACGTCCACGTCCACGTCCACGTCCATGTCCACGTCCACGTCCAAGTCCAAGTCCACGTCCACGTCCACGTCCACGTCCACGTCCACGTCCACGTCCACGTCCACGACCACGTCCACGTCCACGTCCACGTCCACGTGTCCACGTCCACGTCCACGTCCACGTCCACGTCCACGTCCATGTCCACGTCCACGTCCAAGTCCACGTCCACGTCCACGTCCACGTCCAAGTCCACGTCCATGTCCACGACCACGACCACGTCCACGTCCACGACCACGTCCACGTCCACGTCCACGTCCATGTCCACGTCCACGTCCACGTCCACGTCCACGTCCATGTCCACGTCCACGTCCACGTCCACGTCCATGTCCACGTCCATGTCCACGTCCACGTCCATGTCCACGTCCTCCACGTCCAGGTCCACGTCCACGTCCTCGTCCACGTCCACGTCCTCGTCCACGTCCACGTCCACGTCCACGTCCTCCTCCACGTCCACGTCCATGTCCACGTCCACGTCCACGTGTACGTCCACGTCCACGTCCACGTCCACGTGTACGTCCACGTCCACGTCCACGTCCACGTCCATGTCCACGTCCACGTCCACGTCCACGTCCAAGTCCACGTGTACGTCCACGACCACGTCCACGTCCAAGTCCACGACCACATCTATGTCCACGTCCACATCCACCTCCACGTCCACGTCCACGTCCACGTCCACGTCCACGACCACGTCCACGTCCACGTCCACCTCCACGTCCACGTCCACGTCCACGTCCACGTCCACGTCCACGTCCACGTCCACGTTCATGTCCACTCCACGTCCACGTCCACGTCCACGTCCAAGTCCACGTCCACGTCCACGTCCACGACCACGACCACGTCCACGTCCACGTCCAGGTCTACGTCCACGTCCACGTCCACGTCCACGTCCACGTCCACGTCCACGACCACGTCTACGTCCACCTCCACGTCCACCTCCACGTCCACCTCCACGTCCACGTCCACGTCCACTTCCACGTCCACGTCCACGTCCACGACCACGTCCACGTCCACGTCCACGTCCACGTCCACGACCACGTCCACGACCACGTCCACGTCCACGTCCACGTCCACGTCCAAGTCCACGTCCAAGTCCACGTCCACGTCCACGTCCACGTCCACGTCCACGTCCACGTCCACGTCCACGACCACGTCCACGTCCACGTCCACGTCCACGTCCACGTCCACGTCCAGGTCCACGTCCAGGTCCACGTCCACGTCCACGTCCACGTCCACGTCCACCTCCACACGTCCACGTCCACGTCCACGTCCACGTCCACCTCCACGTCCACGTTCACGTCCACGTCAACGTCCACGTCCACGTCCACGTCCACGTCCACGTCCACGACCATGTCCACGTCCACGTCCACGTCCAAGTCCACGTCAACGTCCACGTCCACGTCCACGTCCACGACCATGTCCACGTCCACGACCACGTCCACGACCATGTCCAAGTCCATGTCCAAGTCCACGTCCACGTCCACGTCCACGTCCACGTCCACGTCCACGTCGACGTCCACGTCCACGTCCACGTCCACGTCCAGGTCCAGGTCCACGTCCACGTCCACGTCCATGTCCACGTCCACGTCCACGTCCACGTCCACGTCCACGTCCACGTCCACGACCACGTCCACGTCCACGACCACGTCCACGACCATGCCCAAGTCCATGACCACATCCACGTCCACGTCCACGTCCACGTCCACGTCCACGTCCAAGTCGACGTCCACGTCCATGTCCATGTCCACGTCCACGTCCAGGTCCATGTCCACGTCCACGTCCACGACCACGTCCATGTCCACGTCCACGTCCACGTCCACGTCCATGTCCACGTCCACGTCCACGTCCACGTCCACGTCCACGTTTATGTCCAAGTCCACGTCCACCTCCACGTCCACGTCCACGTCCACGACCACGTCCACGTCCACGACCACGTCCACGACCATGTCCAAGTCCAAGTCCACGTCCACGTCCAAGTCCACGTCCACGTCCACGTCCACGTCCACGACCACGTCAACGTCCACGTCCACGTCCAATCCACGACCACGTCTACGTCCACGTCCACGTCCACGTCCAGGTCCACGTCCACGTTCACGTCCACGTCCACGTCCACGTCCACATCCAGGTCCACGTCCATGTCCACGTCCACGTCCAGGTCCACGTCCATGTCCACGACCACGTCCACGTCCACGTCCACGACCACGTCCACGTCCACGTCCAAGTCCACACGTCCACGTCCACGTCTACGTCCACGTCCACGTCCACGTCCACGTCCACGTCCATGTCCACGTCCACGTCCACGTCCATTTCTACGTCCACGTCCACGTCCACGTCCACGTCCATGTCCACGTCCACGTCCACGTCCACGTCCAAGTCCACACGTCCACGTCCACGTCCACGTCTACGTCCACGTCCACGTCCACGTCCACGTCCACGTCCACGTCCACGTCCACGTCTATGTCCACGTCCACGTCCACGTCCACGTCCATGTCCACGTCCACGTCCACGTCCACGTCCACGTCCATGTCCACGTCCACGTCCAGGTCCAGGTCCACGTCCACGTCCACGTCCATTTCTACATCCACGTCTACGTCCACGTCCACGTCCACGTCCATGTCCACGTCCATGTCCACGTCCACGTCCACGTCCACGTCCACGTCCATGTCCATGTCCACGTCCACGTCCATGTCCACGTCCACGTCCACGTCCACGTCCACGTCCACGTCCATGTCCACGTCCATGTCCACGTCCACGTCCATGTCCACGTCCACGTCTACGTCCATGTCCATGTCCACGTCTACGTCCACGTCCATTTCTACGTCCACGTCCACGTCCATGTCCACGTCTACGTCCACGTCCACGTCCACGTCTACGTCCACGTCCAGATCCACGTCCACGTCCATGTCCACGTCCACGTCCATGTCCACGTCCACGTCCACGTCTACGTCCACGTCCACGTCCACGTCCACGTCCACGTCCACGTCCACGTCCACGTCCATGTCCACGTCCACGTCCACGTCCACGTCCACGTCCATGTCCACGTTCATGTCCACGTCCACGTCCACGTCCACGTCCACGTCCACGTCCACGTCTACGTCCACGTCCATGTCCACGTCCACGTCCACGTCCACGTCCACGTCCATGTCCACGTCCATGTCCACGTCCATGTCCACGTCCACGTCCACGTCCACGTCGTCCATGTCCACGTCTACGTCCAAGTCCACGTCCACGTCCACGTCCAGGTCCACGTCCACGTCCACGTCCACGTCCACGTCCACGACCACGTCCACGTCCACGTCCACGTCCACGTCCATGTCCACGTCCACGTCCACGTGTACGTCCACGTCCACGTCCACGTCCACGTGTACATCCACGTCCACGTCCACGTCCACGTCCACGTCCATGTCCACGTCCACGTCCACGTCCACGTCCAAGTCCACGTGTACGTCCACGACCACGTCCACGTCCAAGTCCACGACCACGTCTATGTCCACGTCCACATCCACCTCCACGTCCACGTCCACGTCCACGTCCACGTCCACGTCCACGACCACGTCCACGTTCACGTCCATGTCCACGTCCACGTCCACGTCCACGTCCACGTCCACGTCGACGACCACGTCCACGTCCACGTCCACGTCCACCTCCACGTCCACGTCCACGTCCACGTCCACGTACACGTCCACGTCCACGACCACGTCCACGTTCACGTCCACGTCCATGACCACGTCCACGTTCATGTCCACTCCACGTCCACGTCCACGTCCACGTCCACGTCCAAGTCCACGTCCACGTCCACGTCCACGACCACGACCACGTCCACGTCCAGGTCCACGTCCACGTCCACGTCCACGTCCACGTCCACGACCACGTCTACGTCCACCTCCACGTCCACCTCCACGTCCACCTCCACGTCCACGTCCACGTCCACGTCCACGTCCACGACCACGACCACGTCCACGTCCACGTCCACGTCCACATGTCCACGTCCACGTCCACGTCCTTGTCCACGTCCACGTCCACGTCCACGTCCACGTCCACGTCCACGACCACGTCCACGTCCACGTCCACGTCCACGTGTCCACGTCCACGTCCACGTCCACGTCCACGTCCACGTCCACGTCCATGTCCACGTCCACGTCCAAGTCCACGTCCACGTCCACGTCCACGTCCAAGTCCACGTCCATGTCCACGACCACGACCACGTCCACGTCCACGACCACGTCCACGTCCACGTCCACGTCCATGTCCACGTCCACGTCCACGTCCACGTCCATGTCCACGTCCACGTCCACGTCCACGTCCACGTCCATGTCCACGTCCATGTCCACGTCCACGTCCATGTCCACGTCCTCCACGTCCAGGTCCACGTCCACGTCCTCGTCCACGTCCACGTCCTCGTCCACGTCCACGTCCACGTCCACGTCCTCCTCCACGTCCACGTCCATGTCCACGTCCACGTCCACGTGTACGTCCACGTCCACGTCCACGTCCACGTGTACGTCCACGTCCACGTCCACGTCCACGTCCACGTCCATGTCCACGTCCACGTCCACGTCCACGTCCAAGTCCACGTGTACGTCCACGACCACGTCCACGTCCAAGTCCACGACCACATCTATGTCCACGTCCACATCCACCTCCACGTCCACGTCCACGTCCACGTCCACGTCCACGACCACGTCCACGTCCACGTCCACGTCCACCTCCACGTCCACGTCCACGTCCACGTCCACGTCCACGTCCACGTCCACGTCCACGTTCATGTCCACTCCACGTCCACGTCCACGTCCACGTCCAAGTCCACGTCCACGTCCACGTCCACGACCACGACCACGTCCACGTCCACGTCCAGGTCTACGTCCACGTCCACGTCCACGTCCACGTCCACGTCCACGTCCACGACCACGTCTACGTCCACCTCCACGTCCACCTCCACGTCCACCTCCACGTCCACGTCCACGTCCACTTCCACGTCCACGTCCACGTCCACGACCACGTCCACGTCCACGTCCACGTCCACGTCCACGTCCACGACCACGTCCACGACCACGTCCATGTTCACGTCCACGTCCACGTCCACGTCCACGTCCAAGTCCACGTCCAAGTCCACGTCCACGTCCACGTCCACGTCCACGTCCACGTCCACGACCACGTCCACGTCCACGTCCACGTCCACGTCCACGTCCACGTCCACGTCCAGGTCCACGTCCAGGTCCACGTCCACATCCACGTCCACGTCCACGTCCACGTCCACCTCCACACGTCCACGTCCACGTCCACGTCCACGTCCACCTCCACGTCCACGTTCACGTCCACGTCAACGTCCACGTCCACGTCCACGTCCACGTCCACGTCCACGTCCACGACCATGTCCACGTCCACGTCCACGTCCAAGTCCACGTCAACGTCCACGTCCACGTCCACGTCCACGACCACGACCACGTCCACGACCATGTCCAAGTCCACGTCCAAGTCCACGTCCACGTCCACGTCCACGTCCACGTCCACGTCGACGTCCACGTCCACGTCCACGTCCACGTCCAGGTCCAGGTCCACGTCCACGTCCACGTCCATGTCCACGTCCACGTCCACGTCCACGTCCACGTCCACGTCCACGACCACGTCCACGTCCACGACCACGTCCACGACCATGTCCAAGTCCATGACCACATCCACGTCCACGTCCACGTCCACGTCCACGTCCACGTCCAAGTCGACGTCCACGTCCATGTCCATGTCCACGTCCACGTCCAGGTCTATGTCCACGTCCACGTCCACGACCACGTCCACGTCCACGTCCACGTCCACGTCCACGTCCACGTCCATGTCCACGTCCACGTCCACGTCCACGTCCACGTCCACGTTTATGTCCAAGTCCACGTCCACCTCCACGTCCACGTCCACGTCCACGACCACGTCCACGTCCACGACCACGTCCACGACCATGTCCAAGTCCAAGTCCACGTCCACGTCCAAGTCCACGTCCACGTCCACGTCCACGTCCACGACCACGTCAACGACCACGTCCACGTCCACGTCCACGTCCACGTCCAGGTCCACGTCCACGTTCACGTCCACGTCCACGTCCACGTCCACATCCAGGTCCACGTCCATGTCCACGTCCACGTCCAGGTCCACGTCCATGTCCACGACCACGTCCACGTCCACGTCCACGACCACGTCCACGTCCACGTCCAAGTCCACACGTCCACGTCCACGTCTACGTCCACGTCCACGTCCACGTCCACGTCCACGTCCATGTCCACGTCCACGTCCACGTCCATTTCTACGTCCACGTCCACGTCCACGTCCACGTCCATGTCCACGTCCACGTCCACGTCCACGTCCAAGTCCACACGTCCACGTCCACGTCCACGTCTACGTCCACGTCCACGTCCACGTCCACGTCCACGTCCACGTCCACGTCCACGTCTATGTCCACGTCCACGTCCACGTCCACGTCCACGTCCACGTCCATGTCCACGTCCACGTCCACGTCCACGTCCACGTCCACGTCCATGTCCACGTCCACGTCCAGGTCCAGGTCCACGTCCACGTCCACGTCCATTTCTACATCCACGTCTACGTCCACGTCCACGTCCACGTCCATGTCCACGTCCATGTCCACGTCCACGTCCACGTCCACGTCCACGTCCATGTCCATGTCCACGTCCACGTCCATGTCCACGTCCACGTCCACGTCCACGTCCACGTCCATGTCCACGTCCATGTCCACGTCTACGTCCATGTCCACGTCCACGTCCATGTCCATGTCCACGTCTACGTCCACGTCCATTTCTACGTCCACGTCCACGTCCATGTCCACGTCTACGTCCACGTCCACGTCCACGTCTACGTCCACGTCCAGATCCACGTCCACGTCCATGTCCACGTCCACGTCCATGTCCACGTCCACGTCCACGTCTACGTCCACGTCCACGTCCACGTCCACGTCCATGTCCACGTCCACGTCCACGTCCACGTCCACGTCCATGTCCACGTTCATGTCCACGTCCACGTCCACGTCCACGTCCACGTCCACGTCCACGTCCACGTCCATGTCCACGTCCACGTCCACGTCCACGTCCATGTCCACGTCCATGTCCACGTCCATGTCCACGTCCACGTCCACGTCCACGTCGTCCATGTCCACGTCCACGTCCACGTCCAAGTCCACGTCCACGTCCACGTCCACGTCCACGTCCACGTCCACGTCTACGTCCATGTCCACGTCCACGTCCACGTCCACGTCCACGTCCACGTCCACGTCCATTTCTACGTCCACGTCCACGTCCACGTCCATGTCCACGTCCACGTCCACGTCCACGTCCACGTCCAAGTCCACACGTCCACGTCCACGTCCACGTCTACGTCCACGTCCACGTCCACGTCCACGTCCACGTCCACGTCGACGTCCACGTCCACGTCGACGTCGACGTCGACGTCCACGTCCACGTCCACGTCCACGTCCACGTCCACGTCTATGTCCACGTCCACGTCCACGTCCACGTCCATGTCCACGTCCACGTCCACGTCCATGCCACGTCCACGTCCATGTCCACGTCCACGTCCAGGTCCAGGTCCACGTCCACGTCCACGTCCATTTCTACGTCCACGTCTACGTCCACGTCCACGTCCACGTCCACGTCCATGTCCACGTCCATGTCCACGTCCACGTCCACGTCCATGTCCATGTCCACGTCCACGTCCATGTCCACGTCCACGTCCACGTCCACGTCCATGTCCACGTCCATGTCCACGTCCACGTCCATGTCCACGTCCACGTCTACGTCCATGTCCATGTCCACGTCTACGTCCACGTCCATTTCTACGTCCACGTCCACGTCCATGTCCACGTCTACGTCCACGTCCACGTCCACGTCTACGTCCACGTCCACGTCCACGTCCACGTCCATGTCCACGTCCACGTCCATGTCCACGTCCACGTCCACGTCTACGTCCACGTCCACGTCCACGTCCACGTCCACGTCCACGTCCACGTCCATGTCCACGTTTATATCCACGTCCACGTCCACGTCCACGTCCACGTCCACGTCCAAGTCCACGTCCATGTCCACGTCTACGTCCATGTCCACGTCCACGTCCACGTCCACGTCCATGTCCACGTCCATGTCCACGTCTACGTCCACGTCCACGTCCACGTCCACGTCCACGTCCATGTCCACGTTCATGTCCACGTCCACGTCCACGTCCACGTCCACGTCCAAGTCCACGTCCAAGTCCACGTCCATGTCCACGTCCACGTCCACGTCCACGTCCACGTCCACGTCCACGTCCATGTCCACGTCCATGTCCACGTCCATGTCCACGTCCACGTCCATGTCCACGTCCACGTCCACGTCCACGTCTACGTCCATGTCCATGTCCACGTCTACGTCCACGTCCATGTCCATGTCCACGTCTACGTCCACGTGCATTTCTACGTCCACGTCTACGTCCACGTCCACGTCCACATCCATGTCCACGTCCCTGTCCACGTCCACGTCCACGTTCATGTCTACGTCCATGTCCAGGTCCACGTCTACGTCCATGTCCACGTCCACGTCCTCGTCCACGTCCACGTCCACGTCCACGTCCACGTCCATGTCCATGTCCACGTCCACGTCCACGTCCACGTCCACGTCCATGTCCATGTCCACGTCCACGTCCACGTCCATTTCTACGTCCACGTCCACGTCCATGTCCTCGTCCACGTCCACGTCCACGTCCACGTCCACGTCCACCTCCACGTCCATGTCCACGTCCACGTCCACGTCCACGTCCACGTCCACGTCCACGTCCACGTCCATGTCCACGTCCTCCTCCACGTCCATGTCTACGTCCACGTCCACGTCCACGTCCACGTCCACGTCCACGTCCATGTCCACCTCCACGTCCACGTCCATGTCCACGTCCACGTCCACGTCCACGTCCACGTCCATGTCCACGTCCACGTCCACGTCCACGTCCTCGTCCACGTCCACGTCCATGTCCACGTCCACGTCCACGTCCACGTCCATGTACACGTCCACGTCCACGTCCATTTCTACGTCCACGTCCACGTCCACGTCCACGTCCATGTCCACGTCCACGTCCACGTCCACGTCCACGTCCAAGTCCACGTCCATGTCCACGTCCATGTCCACGTCCACGTCCACGTCCACGTCCACGTCTACGTCCACGTCCATGTCCACGTCCACGTCTACGTCCACGTCCACGTCCACGTCTGCGTCCACGTCCATGTCCACGTCCACGTCCATGTCCACGTCTACGTCCATGTCCATGTCCACGTCCACGTCCACGTCCACGTCCACGTCCATGTCCATGTCCACGTCCATGTCCATGTCCACGTCCATGTCCACGTCCACGTCCACGTCCACGTCCATGTCCACGTCCATGTCCACGTCCATGTCCACGTCCACGTCCATGTCCACGTCCACGTCCACGTCCATGTCCACGTCCACGTCCACGTCCACGTCCACGTCCACGTCCACGTCCACGTCCACGTCCTCGTCCACGTCCACGTCCATGTCCACGTCCACGTCCACGTCCACGTCCACGTCTATGTCCACGTCCACGTCTATGTCCATTTCTACGTCCACCTCCACGTCCACGTCCACGTCCACGTCCAAGTCCACGTCCATGTCCACGTCCATGTCTACGTCCACGTCCACGTCCAGGTCCACGTCTACGACCACGTCCACGTCCACGTCCACGTCCATGTCCACGTCCACGTCCATGTCCACGTCCATGTCCATGTCCACGTCCATGTCCATGTCCACGTCCACGTCCACGTCCACGTCCACGTCCACGTCTACGTCCATGTCCATGTCCACGTCTACGTCCACGTCCATGTCCATGTCCACGTCTACGTCCACGTCCATTTCTACGTCCACGTCTACGTCCACGTCCACGTCCATGTCCACGTCCCTGTCCACGTCCACGTCCACGTTCACGTCTACGTCCATGTCCAGGTCCACGTCTACGTCCATGTCCACGTCCACGTCCACGTCCACGTCCACGTCCACGTCCATGTCCATGTCCACGTCCACGTCCACGTCCACGTCCATGTCCATGTCCACGTCCATTTCTACGTCCACGTCCATTTCTACGTCCACGTCCACATCCATGTCCTCGTCCACGTCCACGTCCACGTCCACGTCCACTTCCACGTCCACGTCCACGTCCACGTCCATGTCCACGTCCACGTCCACGTCCACGTCCACGTCCACGTCCATGTCCACGTCCAACGTCCATGTCCACGTCCACGTCCACGTCCATGTCCACGTCCACGTCCACGTCCACGTCCACGTCCAAGTCCACGTCCATGTCCACGTCCACGTCCACGTCCACGTCCACGTCCACGTCCACGTCCACGTCCACGTCCACGTCCATGTCCACGTCCACGTCCACGTCCACGTCCACGTCCACGTCCAAGTCCATGAACACGTCCACGTCCACGTCCACGTCTACGTCCACGTCCACGTCCACGTCCACGTCCACGTCCACGTCCACGTCGACGTCCACGTCCACGTCTACGTCCAAGTCCACACGTCCACGTCCACGTCCACGTCTACGTCCACGTCCACGTCCACGTCCACGTCCACGTCGACGTCGACGTCCACGTCCACGTCCACGTCCACGTCCACGTCTATGTCCACGTCCACGTCCACGTCCACGTCCACGTCCACGTCCTCGTCCACGTCCACGTCCATGTCCACGTCCACGTCCACGTCCACGTCCACGTCCACGTCCATGTCCACGTCCACGTCTATGTCCACGTCCACGTCCACGTCCACGTCCACGTCGACGTCCACGTCCACGTCCACGTCCACGTCCAAGTCCACACGTCCACGTCCACGTCCACGTCTACGTCCACGTCCACGTCCACGTCCACGTCGACGTCGACGTCGACGTCGAAGTCCACGTCGACGTCGACGTCCACGTCCACGTCCACGTCCACGTCCATGTCCATGTCTACGTCCACGTCCATGTCCACGTCCACGTCTACGTCCACGTCCACGTCCCTGTCCACGTCCACGTCCACGTCCACGTCCACGTCGACGTCCACGTCCACGTCCACGTCCACGTCCATATCCATGTCTACGTCCACGTCCATGTCCACGTCCACGTCTACGTCCACGTCCACGTCCCTGTCCACGTCCACGTCCACGTCCATGTCCACGTCCACGTCCACGTCCACGTCCACGTCCACGTCCACGTCCATGTCCACGTCCACGTCCACGTCCACGTCCACGTCCACGTCCACGTCCACGTCCACGTCCACGTCCATGTCCACGTCCACGTCCACGTCCACGTCCATGTCCACGTCCACGTCCACGTCCACGTCCACGTCCACGTCCATGTCCACGTCCATGTCCACGTCCACGTCCACGTCCACGTCCACGTCCATGTCCACGTCCAAGTCCACGTCCACGTTGACGTCCACGTCCACGTCCATGTCCACGTCCACGTCCACGTCCACGTCCATGTCCACGTCCACGTCCACGTCCACGTCCACGTCCAAGTACACGTCCATGTCCACGTCCATGTCTACGTCCACGTCCACGTCCACGTCTACGTCCACGTCCACGTCCACGTCCACGTCCACGTCCATGTCCACGTCCACGTCCACGTCCACGTCCACGTCCATGTCCACGTCCACGTCCACGTCCACGTCCACGTCCACGTCCATGTCCACGTCCTCCTCCACGTCCATGTCCACGTCCACGTCCACGTCCACGTCCACGTCCACGTCCATGTCCACGTCCACGTCCACGTCCACGTCCACGTCCACGTCCACGTCCACGTCCACGTCCACGTCCACGTCCATGTCCACGTCCTCCTCCACGTCCATGTCCACGTCCACGTCCACGTCCACGTCCACGTCCACGTCCACGTCCATGTCCACGTCCACGTCCACGTCCACGTCCACGTCCATGTCCACGTCCACGTCCACGTCCACGTCCACGTCCTCGTCCACGTCCACGTCCATGTCCACGTCCACGTCCACGTCCACGTCCATGTCCACGTCCACGTCCACGTCCATTTCTACGTCCACGTCCACGTCCACGTCCATGTCCACGTCCACGTCCACGTCCACGTCCATGTCCACGTCCACGTCCACGTCCACGTCCACGTCTACGTCCAAGTCCACACGTCCACGTCCACGTCCACGTCTACGTCCACGTCCACGTCCACGTCCACGTCCACGTCCACGTCGACGTCCACGTCCACGTCGACGTCGACGTCCACGTCCACGTCCACGTCCACGTCCACGTCCACGTCTATGTCCACGTCCACGTCCACGTCCACGTCCACGTCCACGTCCACGTCTATGGCCACGTCCACGTCCACGTCCATGTCCACGTCCACGTCCACGTCCATGTCCACGTCCATGTCCACGTCCATGTCCACGTCCACGTCCACGTCCACGTCCACGTCCATGTCCACGTCCACGTCCAGGTCCATTTCTATGTCTACGTCCACGTCCACGTCCATGTCCACGTCCACGTCCACGTCCACGTCCACGTCCACGTCCACGTCCACGTCCACGACCACGTCTACGTCCACCTCCACGTCCACCTCCACGTCCACCTCCACGTCCACGTCCACGTCCACGTCCACGACCACGACCACGTCCACGTCCACGTCCACGTCCACGTGTCCACGTCCACGTCCACGTCCACGTCCACGTCCACGTCCATGTCCACGTCCACGTCCAAGTCCACGTCCACGTCCACGTCCACGTCCACGTCCACGTCCACGTCCACGTCCACGTCCACGTCCACGTCCACGACCACGTCTACGTCCACCTCCACGTCCACCTCCACGTCCACCTCCACGTCCACGTCCACGTCCACGTCCACGTCCACGACCACGACCACGTCCACGTCCACGTCCACGTCTACGTGTCCACGTCCACGTCCACGTCCACGTCCATGTCCACGTCCACGTCCACGTCCACGTCCACGTCCATGTCCACGTCCACGTCCACGTCCACGTCCATGTCCACGTCCACGTCCACGTCCACGTCCATGTCCACGTCCACGTCCACGTCCACGTCCTCGTCCACGTCCACGTCCTCGTCCACGTCCACGTCCACGTCCACGTCCTCCTCCACGTCCACGTCCATGTCCACGTCCACGTCCACGTGTACGTCCACGTCCACGTCCACGTCCACGTGTACGTCCACGTCCACGTCCACGTCCACGTCCACGTCCATGTCCACGTCCACGTCCACGTCCACGTCCAAGTCCACGTGTACGTCCACGACCACGTCCACGTCCAAGTCCACGACCACATCTATGTCCACGTCCACATCCACCTCCACGTCCACGTCCACGTCCACGTCCACGTCCACGACCACGTCCACGTTCACGTCCATGTCCACGTCCACGTCCACGTCCACGTCCACGACCACGTCCACGTCCACGTCCACGTCCACCTCCACGTCCACGTCCACGTCCACGTCCACGTCCACGTCCACGTCCACGTTCATGTCCACTCCACGTCCACGTCCACGTCCACGTCCAAGTCCACGTCCACGTCCACGTCCACGACCACGACCACGTCCACGTCGACGTCCAGGTCTACGTCCACGTCCACGTCCACGTCCACGTCCACGTCCACGACCACGTCTACGTCCACCTCCACGTCCACCTCCACGTCCACCTCCACGTCCACGTCCACTTCCACGTCCACGTCCACGTCCACGACCACGTCCACGTCCACGTCCACGTCCACGTCCACGTCCACGTCCACGACCACGTCCACGACTACGTCCACGTTCACGTCCACGTCCACGTCCACGTCCACGTCCAAGTCCACGTCCAAGTCCACGTCCACGTCCACGTCCACGTCCACGTCCACGTCCACGTCCACGTCCACGACCACGTCCACGTCCACGTCCACGTCCACGTCCACGTCCACGTCCAGGTCCACGTCCAGGTCCACGTCCACGTCCACGTCCACGTCCACGTCCACCTCCACACGTCCACGTCCACGTCCACGTCCACGTCCACGTCCACCTCCACGTCCACGTTCACGTCCACGTCAACGTCCACGTCCACGTCCACGTCCACGTCCACGTCCACGTCCACGTCCACGACCATGTCCACGTCCACGTCCACGTCCAAGTCCACGTCAACGTCCACGTCCACGTCCACGTCCACGACCATGTCCACGTCCACGACCACGTCCACGACCATGTCCAAGTCCACGTCCAAGTCCACGTCCACGTCCACGTCCACGTCCACGTCCACGTCGACGTCCACGTCCACGTCCACGTCCACGTCCAGGTCCAGGTCCACGTCCACGTCCACGTCCATGTCCACGTCTACGTCCACGTCCACGTCCACGTCCACGTCCACAACCACGTCCACGTCCACGACCACGTCCACGACCATGTCCAAGTCCATGACCACATCCACGTCCACGTCCACGTCCACGTCCACGTCCACGTCCAAGTCGACGTCCACGTCCATGTCCATGTCCACGTCCACGTCCAGGTCCATGTCCACGTCCACGTCCACGACCACGTCCACGTCCACGTCCACGTCCACGTCCATGTCCACGTCCACGTCCACGTCCACGTCCACGTCCACGTTTATGTCCAAGTCCACGTCCACCTCCACGTCCACGTCCACGTCCACGACCACGTCCACGTCCACGACCACGTCCACGACCATGTCCAAGTCCACGTCCACGTCCACGTCCAAGTCCACGTCCACGTCCACGTCCACGTCCACGACCACGTCAACGTCCACGTCCACGTCCAATCCACGACCACGTCCACGTCCACGTCCACGTCCACGTCCAGGTCAACGTCCACGTTCACGGACGACGTCGACGTGGACGTGGACGTGGACATGGACGTGGACATGGACGTGGACATGGACGTGGACGTACACGTGGACGTGGACGTGGACATGGACGTGGACGTGGACGTGGACGTGGACGTAGACGTGGACGTGGACGTGGACGTAGACATGGACGTGGACATGGACGTGGACTTGGACGTGGACGTGGACGTGGACGTGGACGTGGACATGGACGTGGACGTGGACGTGGACGTGGACATGGACGTGGACGTGGACGTCAACGTGGACGTGGACTTGGACGTGGACATGGACGTGGACGTGGACGTGGACGTGGACGTGGACGTGGACATGGACGTGGACATGGACGTGGACATGGACGTGGACGTGGACGTGGACGTGGACGTGGACATGGACGTGGACGTGGACGTGGACGTGGACATGGACGTGGACGTGGACGTGGACGTGGACGTGGACGTGGACGTGGACGTGGACATGGACGTGGACGTGGACGTGGACGTGGACGTGGACGTGGACATGGACGTGGACGTGGACGTGGACAGGGACGTGGACGTGGACGTAGACGTGGACGTGGACATGGACGTGGACGTAGACATGGACATGGACGTGGACGTGGACGTGGACGTGGACGTCGACGTGGACGTGGACGTGGACGTGGACGTGGACAGGGACGTGGACGTGGACGTAGACGTGGACGTGGACATGGACGTGGACGTAGACATGGACATGGACGTGGACGTGGACGTGGACGTGGACGTCGACGTCGACGTGGACTTCGACGTCGACGTCGACGTCGACGTGGACGTGGACGTGGACGTGGACGTAGACGTGGACGTGGACGTGGACGTGTGGACTTGGACGTGGACGTGGACGTGGACGTCGACGTGGACGTGGACGTGGACGTGGACGTGGACATAGACGTGGACGTGGACATGGACGTGGACGTGGACGTGGACGTGGACGTGGACGTGGACATGGACGTGGACGTGGACGAGGACGTGGACGTGGACGTGGACGTGGACGTGGACATAGACGTGGACGTGGACGTGGACGTGGACGTGGACGTGGACGTCGACGTGGACGTGGACGTGGACGTCGACGTGGACGTGGACGTGGACGTGGACGTGGACGTAGACGTGGACGTGGACGTGGACGTGTGGACTTGGACGTAGACGTGGACGTGGACGTGGACGTCGACGTGGACGTGGACGTGGACGTGGACGTGGACGTAGACGTGGACGTGGACGTGGACGTGTGGACTTGGACGTGGACGTGGACGTGGACGTGGACGTGGACATGGACGTGGACGTGGACGTGGACGTGGACGTGGACGTGGACGTGGACGTGGACATGGACGTGGACTTGGACGTGGACGTGGACGTGGACGTGGACGTGGACATGGACGTGGACGTGGACGTGGACATGGACGTTGGACGTGGACATGGACGTGGACGTGGACGTGGACGTGGACGTGGACATGGACGTGGACGTGGACGTGGACGTGGACGTGGACGTGGACGAGGACATGGATGTGGACGTGGACGTAGAAATGGACGTGGACGTAGAAATGGACGTGGACATGGACATGGACGTGGACGTGGACGTGGACGTGGACATGGACATGGACGTGGACGTGGACGTGGACGTGGACGTGGACATGGACGTAGACGTGGACCTGGACATGGACGTAGACGTGAACGTGGACGTGGACGTGGACAGGGACGTGGACATGGACGTGGACGTGGACGTAGACGTGGACGTAGAAATGGACGTGGACGTAGACGTGGACATGGACATGGACGTGGACGTAGACGTGGACATGGACATGGACGTAGACGTGGACGTGGACGTGGACGTGGACGTGGACATGGACGTGGACATGGACATGGACGTGGACGTGGACGTGGACGTGGACATGGACGTGGACGTGGACGTGGACGTGGACGTGGACGTAGACGTGGACGTGGACGTGGACGTGGACGTAGACATGGACGTGGACATGGACGTGGACTTGGACGTGGACGTGGACGTGGACGTGGAGGTGGACGTAGAAATGGACATAGACGTGGACGTGGACATAGACGTGGACGTGGACGTGGACGTGGACGTGGACATGGACGTGGACGTGGACGAGGACGTGGACGTGGACGTGGACGTGGACGTGGACGTGGACGTGGACGTGGACGTGGACGTGGACATGGACGTGGACGTGGACGTGGACATGGACGTGGACGTGGACATGGACGTGGACATGGACGTGGACATGGACGTGGACGTGGACGTGGACGTGGACATGGACGTGGACATGGACATGGACGTGGACATGGACATGGACGTGGACGTGGACGTGGACGTGGACGTGGACGTGGACATGGACGTAGACGTGGACATGGACGTGGACGTGGACATGGACGTGGACGCAGACGTGGACGTGGACGTGGACGTAGACGTGGACGTGGACATGGACGTAGACGTAGACGTGGACGTGGACGTGGACGTGGACGTGGACATGGACGTGGACATGGACGTGGACTTGGACGTGGACGTGGACGTGGACGTGGACGTGGACATGGACGTGGACGTGGACGTGGACGTGGACGTAGAAATGGACGTGGACGTGGACGTGGACATGGACGTGGACGTGGACGTGGACGTGGACATGGACGTGGACGTGGACGAGGACGTGGACGTGGACGTGGACGTGGACGTGGACATGGACGTGGACGTGGACGTGGACGTGGACATGGACGTGGCCGTGGACGTGGACATGGACGTGGACGTGGACGTGGACGTGGACGTGGACGTGGACGTGGACGTAGACATGGACGTGGAGGAGGACGTGGACATGGACGTGGACGTGGACGTGGACGTGGACGTGGACGTGGACGTGGACATGGACGTGGAGGTGGACGTGGACGTGGACGTGGACGTGGACGTGGACGAGGACATGGACGTGGACGTGGACGTAGAAATGGACGTGGACGTGGACGTGGACATGGACATGGACGTGGACGTGGACGTGGACGTGGACATGGACATGGACGTGGACGTGGACGTGGACGTGGACGTGGACGTGGACGAGGACGTGGACGTGGACATGGACGTAGACGTGGACCTGGACATGGACGTAGACATGAACGTGGACGTGGACGTGGACAGGGACGTGGACATGGACGTGGACGTGGACGTGGACGTAGACGTGGACGTAGAAATGCACGTGGACGTAGACGTGGACATGGACATGGACGTGGACGTAGACGTGGACATGGACATGGACGTAGACGTGGACGTGGACGTGGACGTGGACATGGACGTGGACATGGACGTGGACATGGACGTGGACGTGGACGTGGACGTGGACGTGGACGTGGACGTGGACGTGGACGTAGACGTGGACGTGGACGTGGACGTGGACGTGGACATGGACGTGGACTTGGACGTGGACTTGGACGTGGACGTGGACGTGGACGTGGACATGAACGTGGACATGGACGTGGACGTGGACGTGGACGTGGACGTGGACGTGGACGTGGACGTAGACGTAGACATGGACGTGGACATGGACGTGGACGTGGACGTGGACGTGGACATGGACGTAGACGTGGACATGGACGTGGACTTGGACGTGGACGTGGACGTGGACGTGGACGTGGACGTGGACGTGGACATGAACGTGGACATGGACGTGGACGTGGACGTGGACGTGGACGTGGACGTGGACGTGGACGTGGACATGGACGTGGACGTGGACATGGACGTGGACGTGGACGTGGACGTGGACGTAGACGTGGACGTGGACGTGGACGTAGACGTGGACATGGACGTGGACGTGGACGTAGAAATGGACGTGGACGTAGACGTGGACATGGACATGGACGTAGACGTGGACGTGGACATGGACGTGGACGTGGACATGGACGTGGACATGGACGTGGACGTGGACGTGGACGTGGACGTGGACGTGGACATGGACGTGGACGTGGACATGGACATGGACGTGGACGTGGACGTGGACATGGACGTGGACATGGACGTGGACGTGGACGTGGACGTGGACGTAGACGTGGACGTAGAAATGGACGTGGACGTGGACGTGGACCTGGACCTGGACGTGGACGTGGACATGGACGTGGACGTGGCATGGACGTGGACGTGGACGTGGACATGGACGTGGACGTGGACGTGGACGTGGACATAGACGTGGACGTGGACGTGGACGTGGACGTGGACGTCGACGTCGACGTCGACGTCGACGTGGACGTGGACGTCGACGTGGACGTGGACGTGGACGTGGACGTGGACGTGGACGTGGACGTAGACGTGGACGTGGACGTGGACGTGTTGACTTGGACGTGGACGTGGACGTGGACGTGGACATGGACGTGGACGTGGACGTGGACGTAGAAATGGACGTGGACGTGGACGTGGACGTGGACGTGGACGTGGACATGGACGTAGACGTGGACGTGGACGTGGACGTGGACGTGGACGTGGACGTGGACGTGGACTTGGACGTGGACGTGGACGTGGACATGGACGACGTGGACGTGGACGTGGACGTGGACATGGACGTGGACATGGACGTGGACATGGACGTGGACGTGGACGTGGACGTGGACATGGACGTGGACGTGGACGTGGACGTGGACGTGGACGTGGACGTGGACGTGGACGTGGACATGAACGTGGACATGGACGTGGACGTGGACGTGGACGTGGACGTGGACATGGACGTGGACGTGGACGTGGACGTGGACGTGGACGTGGACGTAGACGTGGACGTGGACGTGGACATGGACGTGGACGTGGACATGGACGTGGACGTGGATCTGGACGTGGACGTAGACGTGGACGTGGACGTGGACGTAGACGTGGACATGGACGTGGACGTGGACGTAGAAATGGACGTGGACGTAGACGTGGACATGGACATGGACGTGGACGTGGACATGGACGTGGACGTGGACATGGACGTGGACATGGACGTGGACGTGGACGTGGACGTGGACGTGGACATGGACGTGGACGTGGACATGGAAATGGACGTGGACGTGGACGTGGACGTGGACGTGGACATGGACGTGGACATGGACGTGGACGTGGACGTGGACGTAGACGTGGATGTAGAAATGGACGTGGACGTGGACGTGGACCTGGACCTGGACGTGGACGTGGACATGGACGTGGACGTGGACGTGGACGTGGACGTGGACGTGGACGTGGACGTGGACGTGGACGTGGACGTGGACGTGGACGTGGACATAGACGTGGACGTGGACGTGGACGTGGACGTGGACGTGGACGTGGACGTGGACGTGGACGTAGACGTGGACGTGGACGTGGACGTGTGGACTTGGACGTGGACGTGGACGTGGACGTGGACATGGACGTGGACGTGGACGTAGAAATGGACGTGGACGTGGACGTGGACATGGACGTGGACGTGGACGTGGACGTGGACGTGGACGTAGACGTGGACGTGGACGTGTGGACTTGGACGTGGACGTGGACGTGGTCGTGGACGTGGACGTGGACGTGGACGTGGTCGTGGACATGGACGTGGACCTGGACGTGGACGTGGACATGGACGTGGACCTGGATGTGGACGTGGACGTGGACGTGGACGTGAACGTGGACGTGGACCTGGACGTGGACGTGGACGTGGACGTGGACGTGGTCGTGGATTGGACGTGGACGTGGACGTTGACGTGGTCGTGGACGTGGACGTGGACGTGGACGTGGACTTGGACGTGGACGTGGACTTGGACTTGGACATGGTCGTGGACGTGGTCGTGGACGTGGACGTGGTCGTGGACGTGGACGTGGACGTGGAGGTGGACGTGGACTTGGACATAAACGTGGACGTGGACGTGGACGTGGACGTGGACATGGACGTGGACGTGGACGTGGACGTGGACGTGGACGTGGACGTGGTCGTGGACGTGGACGTGGACATAGACCTGGACGTGGACGTGGACATGGACATGGACGTGGACGTCGACTTGGACGTGGACGTGGACGTGGACGTGGACGTGGACGTGGATGTGGTCATGGACTTGGACATGGTCGTGGACGTGGTCGTGGACGTGGACGTGGTCGTGGACGTGGACGTGGACGTGGACGTGGACGTGGACATGGACGTGGACGTGGACGTGGACCTGGACCTGGACGT